AATAGAAATAGCCAAGGGAAATCTTGCAGGTTGCTTTTATTAGCGCTGACTTTGATGGGGAGGGAGAATCGTTAAGGCATTCATTTTTCAAAATTAAACTGAAAATGAGGGATGTTAGCCAATGCCTGAGCTCAGATTATTGCTAAGACACTTATATTTAATAACTGACCGAAAAAACATGTAGCCTAATGGTCTGCATTGTGGGAAGTAATAGTTGTTGCATGAACCAATAAATACTAAAACTTTATCCATTCTTTCATTTATAATTCAAAATCAAGATGACACTTAGTATTTTATTTACATTTTAAAAACATTCTTTCAAAATCTTGTTTCATAGTTAATTTGATTACTATAATCTAAAATAAATGGAGAGCAATTCCTTTTGTGTTCAATGGGATTTATTTATAAGTATGAAAAACAATCACACCATTACCAGTTGGTATCTATTCCCACCAGAATGAAATAGTGACATTTTGCTGATTTCAAAAAGATTTGGCTAAATACATTCCTAATTCCCAAAGTGACATCTCTGGGATTTAAAATCAAGCTAGAAATCTAGTGGGCACTTATCTAAGGAAGAAAACAGACCTCTCCTATATTCCCCCCCACTATACATTGGACTTAAGAAAGCTTTAAAAGCACAAGTATTTTGTAGCAGGAGATCTGATGTTTAATCAAAGTATTTCTGAAATGCAAATATCATTCTTTTTTTAAAACAATATCTATCAGTTTGTTTGACCCAGACTCTGAAAACTGAATAAAATGAATCCTTTGAAAATATACTGCTGGATGCATGATTCTATTCATAGTGTATGCAGGGAACAAAATCAAATATTCTGTCAATCTGGTTACAGACTGGAAAGAAAAAAATGCACAGGGAATATTAAAAATTGCCTCTTGCTTGCACTCCTGTTTTCATAGATGGCAATAAATGTTGGCATTTAAAAAAGGGAAGAAAGATAAACCTCCTGGTTCATGATGTATTAGGCTTCTAGCAATTATTTAATAACATCAGTTACTCCCTGAATTCTTTTGGTCAAAAAGACTATGTAAAAAGAACAAAGATATTTCCTCTTCACCCATTCATCTCTCCCTCTCCCTCCCTGCCTTCCTCCCTGCCGCCCTGCCTGAGATAGAGAATGGAATAACATTGACTAAAATGCAGTATAAAATAGGAACATCTATTTTAAAAGAACAATTACTGACTATAAAAGCTAAATGCAGATACCATGTCAATGAATTGGCTCAGCAGACAATATTTAGGTAATGCAAGGAGCATGAGGTTGCACGTCTGCAATAGCCTTCTCTGTTCTGTGTCAGCTTTGTCTGTGACATGTACTTTGTAAGCAGAGAAAATCAGCATGCCATTCCTGCTTCTTGGACTCCCTTAGAAGTATGTCTAGCTATCAAATTATGGGTAATGCATTTGCTTGTTGCAGGTGCTTTGAAGTTGCTTGAATTCTTTTTTTAAGGGCCATATTAGAAAAAGATAAAACTTAGGGAAGAATTTTTTATTTGATAAAATACTCATGCTAATTAATTAGAATGAGTTGCTAAGTATATTTATATCATTATAGTTAAGATTTGAAAAATGCTGTTGGAATGCAGGATTGAAGTTCATTGGCAGAACGCTTCTTTAATTCTTGGTACCGTTTAAATGCATGAAAATGCTGATATCAAAAGGACATTAAGGGTAATGCTATATTGTTACCTTAAGGGTGGTATGTGGCATTTGGAGGCAATGTACATCAAAAGGTAAACACAACTAGGAAAACAAATTGAGCAGGTTCAGGATAATAACAAAAACTGAGTTTAATTTAAATTTATTAAATACAATTATTATGGTTTTTTAAAACTTTTTGCTTCTTTTCTTAGATACAGTGTAAATACAACCTCTGAAAGCTGAAATCAAGTTTTTAAAGACCTTAGATTCTAATCTTCAGTGAGATTCATTTTAAGACAAATGGAAAAATAATTATAGATGTCCACAATATTTTTCTATTACTGTATATTATATTATAGTACATTAAAGGTAGTCTTCAAATTATGACAGCAACTGAGACTAGAAATCCATAGTGAAACCATAAAGTGCAATTGAATTGCTTAATAATGACAACCTCTGCAATTTCATTTGTCACTGTTAACTGAATTCCACAGTTGTCAAACAAGGCAACTTCCTGCTACCTTTCTACAACCAAAGTCAGTTGGGAAGCTGGCAGGCAGCTCTAAATTCTAGACTAGCAGGAAGGTAAATAGCTTCTGCCTGTAAGGAAAAGGAGCGAAAGAGTCTGGGGGGACTGTAAGCAAGCTTGTAAGAATCTCTGTTGGAGATTGTGCACATGGGTTCAAGGAATCATGCTAGTGGCTTGATGTGGGAGGGCATGTGAGGGTTGCACAAGGCTTTATAGTGCTGTGAAGGAAGCATGGCATGGGTCAGGGAGATGGGCAGAAGTGTGAGAATGGTCAGGCAGTGTGAGCACAAAGGAGTTGGGAGAGGGTGTCCAAGTGAGGGTTACTTACCCCAGGAGTAAGAATACTTTCCTTTCTGGGGCAGCTGACAAGAAAGTATTCAAATAGTGATCACATGATTTTGGACACTGCAAAAGATCATAAGTATGAACTGATTGCCCAGATCTAAATCATATGTTTATGGGGATATTGGGCTAGCTAGTACTCCAAGGACTGGTATAATCACCACTTATTCAGGGCCATTATAACTTGTTAATTAACACTTGTTAATTTATGACACAGCTTTCTGACATCTTGAAACAGTGATCATAATGGGAAAGATTACATCTGTCTATTTGTGGGGGGTGAAATCAAGGACAAAAACAGCATCTTACAGAAGGTCTTAAGGTATCTCTTAAATAAAACACTGAATTTTTGTGTACATATGAAACTTTGGAAAAGTATGCAATGTGAGGCATTTAGGCTGTTTTTACAATGTGTATCAATCAATCAATCAATAAAAACTGAACCCTCTAAAATGCTATTAATAAAAATATAAAATGCTACATAATATATGTTAATAAATTAAATATTTGTGTAGAGTAAATATGTAATTGCAGGACAATAAAGGGTGCATTTATAAAATAATAATGTACTTGCCAGAGTTCCAGTAATAATAATGCCATATTTATGTAAGATTTTCCAAACCAGCAGTTAAAAATAACTACAGTATGTACTATATTTTGCATTCAAATTTGCAATATATAAAAATCCATGCCAGAAATATGAAACATAGAGTCCCAACTATAATCAAGATTGCTGGAGAAGTAATAAATTATGATGTCTATAAAATATTGATGATATTCAAACAAACAAATACATTTCCATGTTACTCTGGTGGCTATATGACTTTTTTTTTTTAACTTCCGATGCAATGTGTGGTATGTAGGCATTCATTTGTTTATTAGTTTATTTCGATCAATTTGTTCAGATTCCCAGCTTGGAACAGTGACTTTGGGTGGTTAACATGAAATTAAAACACAATTAAAAAGTTTTTTATTGATCTAAATAATTAAATATTCATATGGTGGCAGCTGAAGGCAACAAATAATTAGTAAATAGTAACCATATCATGGGATTCATTCATCTCCCAGTTCCCATATCTAGAAACAGCCATGGTTTTCAAGGCTTTTCAAAATTCCAGAAGAGTAGCTGGCTACCCTCTGTAGCCAGCTCAATCTCAGAGGATAGTTGCTTACTTCCTAAATTCTCTCATGTAACAATCCTGAATAGATGAGACCAGGGGCAGGATTCAGATTTTTTAACAACCGGTTCTGTGGCGTGGGTTAGTTGGTGGACATGGCTTGGTGGTCATGTGACTGGCTGGGTGTGGCCAACTCAATATCACTCACATTGAGGCATGCATCTCCTTGCCTGGCCTCTCATGACTGTGGGGATGTTGCCAAAGTCATAAGTGTGAAAAGTGGTCATAAGTCACTTTATTCAGTGCCATTGTAACTTTGAATGGTCACTCCACACAAGCAAAGTATCAGCAAAGTGGGGGGGGAACCCCAGAGACATTTCTGAGACAGGAAGCCTACTCCTGCCAAGAATGTAATAAGGGTTAACGGAGAGGCAGTTTCTGTAAGCAACACCAGAATGTTTCCTTCCTGCCTTCCTTACAGGATTAGGCCAGTAATTTCTTCTAACAACCAGTTCTCCGAACTGCTTAGAATGTTGACAACCGGTTCTAACGAATAGGTGCGAACTGGTAGAATCCCACCCCTGGATGAGACTCAGGACATGACCCTTCCAATGGAAGTGATCAATAGAGAACAATAGGCTTGGAAGGGACTGCGGAAATCTTCCAGTCAAACCCCCTCCTCAGGGATGCTGAGATGATTAGCAAATATTAGAGAGAGGCAGTTCTGTAAATAACCTGTCCCCATACCATGAAGAATTTTACAGATGGTAATCAACACATTGGAGGACCAATAGAAGAGAATATTTGTAGCTAATAGTTGAACTGTGGAGTCCTTATGTTCTTTGAGATTGGTTGTTTTCTTGCAGATGTCTCTATTTATACACAAGTGAATTTCCCTGTCACTGCTGGTGGGAGTGTTCTTGGTGATTCTTTGATAAGGCTGTTGTTTACTGTTTATTAAGATTGTTTAGTACTATTAATCTTGGTGTTCATTCCTGGTTATTTGGTTGTTGTTTGTTGGTGGGTATTTTTAGCATTTTGATTGTCTTCTTTGAATAGTATATAAATGCTTATTTCTGCATGCCTGTTGATAGGCAATTTGTCTGAGTGCTGGTCTTCTAGGAATTCTCTACATTTTTGGATTTGACTTGGTCCAGGATGCTCATAGTTGCCCAGATGAAACTTAACCTATTGTTAACTCTGCCCATTTCTTGTGCAATTACGCATTTTTATCCTATCTACTGACTGCTAGTTGATGTTTATAGATAGCCTCTGCTAGTCTTTGGTCTGTTTGTCCTACATTCTGGATTCTACATTTCTTACACTGTACATTGTAGACAACAATTTTTTTTCTGTGGCTTCTCAAGCCTTTTAGTTTATTTTTGGAGGGTTTTACAATGTACAGTATAATGCCAAGTCAGGATGCTCAGACATTGTTATTATGTACTCTTTGATTAATCTCTGATCTTGGTAATGATATATCATTATGGGTCAAAAGCCTATTTAAACACTTAAGGTTAGTGCGTCAACTATGTACATTTCTGGATATATCAGAAGCAGCTATTTAAACTATGTCATAAACAAGTGGCCTGAAATAAGACAGCTCCCTTATAAAAACAATGGCGAGATGTTACCTACTCTCTTTTCTAAAGTCTGTGGCTTTCAGCCTATTAAAATATACAGATAGTAAAAAAAAGTAGAAATATTAAATGTTATTTGGACTTGCATTTCACCCTTGGCAGTTGCTATAGTTGTGTTTTAATAGTTTTTACAGTCCTTGAAAAAAACCATAGTTTTTAAAGACCTATGTTGTTGAATAACTAACTGCCTGCAAGGCTTTAAGGTTTAGGATTGAACAGGAGATGCCTGGCAATCTCCATGGTGATTTTGGTGCAGCAATTCTAATTGATGTTTCTTTGCTATAGAAGCTATGTGGTCTCTAAAATGAAATGTATTTAGTTAACTGGCTCCAAACTCAAACTGCTTTAGTATCCTTGCCCAAACATTCAACAAAAATAACACATTATTCTGTATTCTGACCTCTGAGGTCACAGATAAAATGTTGACCTTCAGGTATTTCTTATTGCTAAATTAACCCAGCTCATTCAGTCTCTCACTGTAAATCTCCAGTTCCCTAATAATAATTCTTCTTCTACAAGAATGCCTCTCCACTCATCTCCTGGAAAATCAAAATAAATTTCCTTTCAGTATGGCCTACCATAAGGTTTAATAACTCCTGTATTAAACAAAAAACATGAAAATTGAGAAAATGATTTAAAAACTACAACAGCTAGCATAATAATAATAATAATAATAATAATAATAATAATAATAATAATAATAATAATAATAATAA